TACCACTTACCACTTACCACTTACTACTTACTACTTACTACTTACTACTTACTACTTACTACTTACTACTTACTACTTACTACTTACTACTTACTACTTACTACTTACGACGACGACGACTACTACTACTGCTGCTGCTACTACTACTACTACTACCACCACCACCACCACCGCAACAACAACAACAACAACTACTACTACTACTGCTGCTGCTGCTACTACTACTACTGCTACTACTACTACTACTACTACTACTGCTACTGGTAAGGTTTTCAACAGTAGCCATTTGTACTACGGTTGCTCTTCCTATTTCTCTCGCTGCTAGTATGGTTGTGACCGGGACTACGACCATGACCTACGACTGGGACTGGGGCTGGGGCTACGACGACGGTGGCCGTGGCTATGGTTACGGCGATGACTAGGACCATGAGTTTGACGACTATGTCTCCCTCTCTCGGTGCTTTGTTTGAGGCGCAAGAGCTGCTGTGCACCGCGCCTGCGAAGCGGCATCAAGAGGCTTATGAGGCCTGTGCTCGGGGTAGGGCATAACATAGAGGCCTAAAGCAGGAATCCGAGTATTCCCTTGTAGGCGTGCAATTGAAAGTTAGAATACTAAGTCAGTAGTCATACGCCCAGAAACATTTCTGTTCTAATCATGGAGGCCCCTGGGCGGGGATCTGGCGACTGTCAGCAGCTATCCAGATAGAGTCAGCCAGAAGCAGTGCTAAATCTCTACTGCCTACATAGGGCCAATTTACGGGTGAACCATCGCATAAAACAAAAGCATTGGAGACGATGTGAAGCAGTCGATGTGTTGGAAGTGGTGGCGAACCGGAGACTGAAGCTAACATCCACTGTTTGGCCGCAGGCCCTCGCCGCCAAGAGAGCCCAGGCAGCGCAGCAGACTCAGATCACAGAACTTTTGGGCAACTGCCTGGGCTGTAGGTTGTGAAACAGAGACAATGCAAGTCAACATGTTGGCCGAAGCTTCTTTATGTTCCGCTCGGCCGGGTCGCTTCATGCTCTGCTGTCGAGGCTTGTCCCTCCAGAGGACTTTTTCAAGCAAGGCGACTACGAAGGAAGGTGCCCCTTTTCTTATGCTCCATACCCTAAAACTCGCACGAGGCTCCTCGTACAACGAAGGCTTGAGTGTGATTAAATTAACGGATCACCTATGCCAGACTTCATTGACCAAGCTCGAACATGGGCCTCCAACTGGCTAAGCACCAAAAACCTCGCCTGGCATGTGCGAGCATGAGCGCCGAAACCTAAGACTTCGATATGACACAATGACACCTGCGGCTCGTGCACTGTTCAATCCAACAGAGGTACTCCCGCTTTGACGACCGGGGCGTGCCTACACATGCGGAGGCAGGTTGAGCCGAAGCCAAAGAGGCCAAAAAGAGATCCTGATCGCCCTTTGGAGGATGGGAGCGAGCTTCCGAAAAGTGCAGTAAAGAAGCTGGCGTCTTGGCAGCGTCAGGGTCGTGAGAGCAGGCCGAATGCTTGTATTGCCGGGTCATTGGGATTCAAGCCAAGGTCAAAATATACGAGGCGCAGGCGGGATACTTCGCACCAGACCGTTGCATCGTGATGGCTGACGAAACAGTGGACTATGAACCCTGCACCGGTGCTTGCCGTGGCTTGCGACGTGGGAGCCGAATCCTAAACCAGTGCCGGCGTGAGAGTCGAAACTCGTGCCGGTGCACGCTAAAGCCAGATGCTGATCTGCATGGAAAACAACGACTGCATGCTGGGAATTTGTTTCCAGCTGCACGACATGTGACGTCACCTTTTTCATTATCCTTGGTTCCCCATGCCGTTTGTTACTTGTATCTCTATCGTATGACTTGTTCCTGTAGTGTCGCAGATGCTGGGCACCAGGTCCAGGTCATAGCGTGCGGAGGATGTTCGTATTGGTGGTCTTTATGGTCTTAGGTTCCTTACATGCTTTATGTTGGGTTTTCTTCTTGTTTTATCCCTCGTTCTCCCCATGTCATTTTGGCGAGCTGAGACCTATCGCCATGAAACCGTGCCTGCTTGTGCGAGTATTCGAGCCGAAACCGCTGTGGGCGTTTACCCGCGGCAGTACCTCCCGTGCCTGCCACTGCCTCCACTAGAAGGGCATTTTGACTCTGGATAGCGAGAAAAAGGAGGCGATTAGCAATACCCGAGCTTTACACAGGTCAAGAAGTACAGCAAGGCCACGGCAAGCGAAGTTGATGGCCAACCAAGGCTGCCGCCGCTAGGTTGCACTGCAGCAAAAGCCAGACCATTCCTCTGTGCCAATATACCATGCTGTGTAGTCATATGTCTTAGCATGTTAGTTGCATTATGTTGAACGGCGATGTATTTTGGTTTGTCATGTACTGTGTTTTGGCATGGCTCAATATGCTAAAATCGGGCATAAGATGTTTAACATGTTATGCTGCGTTTTGCTATGTTATGGAATGCTTTCATATTGAATAGCAGGTTGTAAAATAACATTTTCATTCATATATATATATATATGTATGTATGTATATAAGTATGTATGCTGTATCCTTTGATCGAGTCCAATTCTCCGAAGTCTCGACGTCTCCCAGTTTACTGCAGGGAAGCCGCTGGAAAGAAGGTGCGGCATGTGTTGCTTGAGGGCAGCTATCTACCGGAACTTCCAGTGGTGCTCTCTCAGGACTCGCCGGCGGAGAGAGGCGCTGAAGATCAGGTTTGAGCCCTGATGCCCTTCAGTGCAGATGACAGATGATCACGTGCGTTCATCTTGCAGTAGCCCTGCGGGGCTGTGTTGTTCCCGTGCAAGCTGCATGTTTGCACGTGTCGCGGTCAGCGGAAGCAGAGGCGATTTTTTCATGCAGCAGGGGGGGGAAAGAGTTTGGGAATGCAGAAGGCTCTTGCCAGAGCCACCCCGAAGCTTCCGCTAGGCCCTGGAGCTGCCAGAGGGCAGCTGCCTCCCCGACGTTGTGTGCGGCACCTTCGGAGGCCCCTGAGCTGGGAAGCCCTGGATCTCTTCAAACCGTGATGATTCAGTGTGCAGATGTTTTCGGTGATCGTACTGATGCGCCCGTGCTTGAAAGACCACAAACGCGTACACAACTGCACTCCCAGGGTGGCCCGGTCTGTTTATATGTTTATATATCTATATATATATAT